AGCATCAGGAGTGAAGCTGCTCACTGATTTACTGCAGGGTCCAGACTGTAGTCTAAAAACACTCAAGTGAGCAAATTATAAATAACAAATGTTTAAAAGGAAAATGTTCAATGTTTAAATGGAAAGAACCAAAATGGGTTGCTTTTATTAAGGCCCATAATAATTTCTTATTCTAAAAATCAGTTTATTTATAACAGTATAAAATGTATTCTTCTATTATAAACCAACATTTGAAACTTTTTATAATTTAATGTCCTGATAAGGTCAAAGATATTTTCAGAAATAAAGATAAAAATTGGCCTAAAAAATGAATAGTCCAGAATACTATAGTGAGGTAGAGTTAAGATAATACTCTTGATATTTATAATGTTGTTAGAGTAAACTTTTTCTCCTTCACAGACTGGTGAAAAGTCCTGAAGCAGAGAAAGCTTGTGATAATCTGAGTAAAGTTCTGGGTACAAACCCCTTACTGCAGACGGATCTGGATCTGAGCAGGAAAATAGACGGAGACTCAGGAGTGAAGCAGCTCTCTGCTCTACTGAAGGATCCACACTGCAGACCTGAGAAACTCACGTGTGTACATTAAATTATTATTATTTCATTATAATTTATTTAAATTTACTCAGTAATATATTTAGATGTATACTGTAAGTTATCAGAAAACACAGTGGTTCAACAGGTAGCAGGACCAGGGTCTCTAGTATGGAGCTTCACATGTTCATGCTTATGTCCATGTGGGTTTCTACTGGGTTTCACTGGGGTGGATTGGCTATGCTAAATCAGAACCTCCCAGGAGGGCATTCTGAGTTTCCTGCGAGTGTGAGCTGGGCAGCTTTCTAGAGAAGAGACTTCAGACTCAATAGTTGAACCCAGGAATCTGAAATTATATCATGGGTACATCCAAGCCATGAAACATTGGACCAGCTCTTTATATTTGCTGTTTTGTGAAGAGAATCAGAATAATTTTAATCCACATTTCTACATGTATTTAGTAAATTTGAAGAGGATATATGATCATGTGCATTACCTTGATTTTTTGTAGGTGGTTCTATAGATATCTGGGTCTCTACTTCATGTGGTCCAGTCTCTATAAGTAGTCAAAATTGTGTCTGTATTCATGCCATAAAGTCAGAATTGTTGGATTTTGTTAAGAGTGTGTCTTATTTGCCCTCCTGTTTGTGCAGACAATATTAGAATTTAGAGATCAGTGGTCATTGTCAACACACCACAGCACACAGTGCGCAACAACGAAATGTGACCTCTGAATTTGACCCATATGTGACTTTCGTGACATAGCAGGGGGCAGCTAATTCAGCACCCGGGGAGCAGTGCTTGGGGGCGGTACCTTGCTCAGGGTACCTCAGTGGTGACTTGCTGGTGGGGGATTCGAACCTGCAATCTTTCAATTACAAGTGCGCTACCCTAACCATCAAGCCACCACTGCCCACAAAATTAAGGGGGCACCCGGATTTGAACCGGGGACCTTTTGATCTGCAGTCAAATGCTCTACCACTGAGCTATACCCCCAATGTCCATTGATGTATTGATGGGTTGTTCAGTGTGGAAGGTATAGCTCACATCCTTCCTATTTTTATTATCATCTGAGGTTGGCCTTCGATAAACACTTGAACATTTTTCTGCTGAATATGAACCAGCTGGGACAGATATCAGCTCCTCCAAGTCTGAGGGCATGGTTTGTTTCTTGTAAAGAGTGGGGAAGGGAGGCACCTTGTCCTGGACTGTGTCAGAGCAGCAGTGATAGTCATAGTGAAATTGGTCTGTGGTTATTGTTATACAGATATTACAGATTAGGTTTTTTTAACTTTTATTTTGAAGCTTAAGAATGATCAGTTGTCCGAATATATAAAACAATTTCATACATGTGCACACCACGTTATTATTATTATTTTTACTGAAACACAAAAATCTGATTTGACATATATACACTCTTTTAAATTAAGTCTTCAACACATACATATATGTAATTATGTAAATGTAATTTTTGAAAGAATTCTCATTTAGATGTAGGCTGAAGAAATCCATGTCAAATGTTTATCCTTTCTCAGTGTAGATTGTTTCATTAAAGTACATCACATGCTTGGTTTTGAATGTATAATTTTCAAAATATAAATAAAAACTTTATCAGTACCATATTTCTCAGTGTATGAAAACTCTTCTTAATTCTATATTGCTTCCGTAGATGTTGATCCATTTTATTCTATATCCTCTATGACCATATTTTACTCAGACTTTCAGACTGCAGTATAACAGAGGAAGGATACGCTGCTCTGGCTGAAGCTCTGACATCATCACACCTGATAGAGCTGGATCTCAGAGGGAACGACCCTGGAGCATCAGGAGTGAAGCGGCTCACTGATTTACAAAAGAATCGACATCACAAAACAGTGACACTGAGGTGATTCTTATATAAACAAACATTGGCATATAAAACATACATAGTGTTAAAATAACTTTTTTTCTTCAACCCCTACAGGTTGTTACAGAGTCCAGATGCAGAGGAAGCCTGCAATTGTCTTACAGGAAAAGGGTTTTTTTCCAGTAAAACCCCCTTACTGAACACGGAGCTGGATCTGAGCAATAAAATACCTAAAGACAAAGTCAAAGTGAATCAGCTCTCGGCTCTGCTGCAGGATCCACATTACAGACTGAAGAAACTCACGTAAGATGTGGTTTCGTGAAAGGCATTATGGAGAAGGGTTTTCTCTTTTCTGGTGGTTAAATCTATTGTTCCACCACACAACTGATTAAGAAACTAACAGTTCTGATATGAATAACAGTCCTGATTTATCCACCGCTGGACAGGAAGCTTAACACATGGTGTGAGAGACTAACCTGACCACCTTCTCTCCCTCTCTCTCTCTCTCTCTCTCTCTCTCTAGGTTGTATAAAGAAGACGGTATTAAAGATGCTGAGTTTGTCAATCTGATTTCTGCTCTGGATTTAAATCCTTCTCACCTGAGAGAGTTGAATCTAAACAGGAATAAACCAGGAAAGTTGGGACTGAGAAATCTCTGTGAATTCCTGAAGAATCCTAAATGTAAACTACAGAAACTAAAGTGAGTAATAATGTCTTTATAACTGAACTAAACATTTTAATTAAAGCTATCAATCAGTTTAAAAACATCTTATTTTAACAATTTGGAAAATTCTATTCTGGGGTTTCTGCCATATTCAGACATTTATATTTCATTTAGAAAAACTTTCTGGATGTTTATTAGCACATGTATGTTTAACACTCAAATAAGTATAACATGGAAATTATATATAATAAACTCTATACTATAATAAACTAAATGTCACTGTTTTATATTCACTTTCATATTTCTTTTTGTGTAATATGATCAAGTAAAATAAACCCTAGTCATTAGTATATACTGTGCTTTAACATTTATGATTAATTTTAGTTATTAATTACTTTTGTCTTTACAGCACTTTGGTCAGTGAAAGGTGTTCTTAAATGTGCTACATAAATACAGTTGGCCTGACTTTAAATCACAGCACTGCTGAATTCTTGAATCTGATTGGTCAGAAAGTGTTGATTAGTTTTCTATAACAGCAGCTCTGACAGTAACGCAGGTGTAAATCACAGATTATATCAATGCACTCGTTTTAATGTAATCGTTTCTACAGTAACAGCTCATTCACAGAAATGTGTGTGCTCTGTATTATTTAAACCTTACAATTAAAGGATTAAAAAGTTTTATTAATTTTTTATTAATTCATTTTTGTTTATGTACCAATCAGTGGAGTCTCCAGTGTCAGAAGTTTGTAACAGTCACTATTGTTACTCTAAAAGCAACACACAGTGCTTTATTCCCTACTTACTTTCCTTAATGTTAGCAAAGTTCAATTCACTCTAATAAATCTCTCTCTCTCTCTCTCTCTCTCTCTCTCTCCCTCCCTCCCTCCAGTCTACGGAACAGTGTAAGTGAATCCTGGGCTGATTTGGCTTCAGCTCTCTGTACAAACCCTTCACACATCAGAGATCTGGATCTGAGTGAGTGTAAACTAGGAGACTCAGGAGTGGAGAAGCTCTGTGATCTACTGAAGAAACACGAGTGTAAACTGGAGACACTGCGGTGAGGAACTCAGTTATGAAACACACTGAATTTAATTGATAATCTTTACAGTTATTTTTTCTGTGATTCAGAGCTTTCCTGATGCCCACGAACAAGACTGAGACAATCTTCATCTCTGTGTTAATATAACAGCTGTGTTTCTGTTACACTGAATCTCATGAACTACATCACTATCTCTCTGTCTGCAGGTTAATAAAGTGTGGAATAACAGATAAAGGCGGTGCTGCTCTGACTGAAGCTCTGAGCTCAAACTACTCACATCTGAAAGAGCTGGATCTGAGAAAGAATAAACTAACAGATTCAGTCACACAGAAGCTCTCTGAGATACTGAAGCATTCAGGAGGAAAGCTAAAGTAAGTAAACACACACTGAATGTGTATTTTGTGTAGAATATAATGTAAGTGAAAGCGTGTCATGTAAGAGTAACGTAAATGGACAAATCAACAGCATGTAACAATAATCATAGTCACAGAAACATGATGAAGTCAGTGACTAAATGCTAAACCCAGTGACATCTGTGTTCTTTCTGTTTTGATCTTACAGATATGACGAGCCATCAATTGCAACAAAAGTGGCGAATTTCTTTTCTGGTAGTACATCTGATGAACAGCAGAGTTAAGGACCTGTCCCATCTACAGTAAAGACAGAACAAAGACACAGAAAGATGCAAGACAAACAAGATGAAGGAAGCAGTGTGGACAGTTCAGCAGGTAGTATGGACCGGGGTAGTTCTGAGACACTGACTTCAGGAGCCCAGAGACTTCAGGCAGTTTTAGAACCACATAATAGTACGACTGTGACAAACACACCGAAACAACAAACCAAAGAGAAAAACCCACTCATACAGTACCTCCATACCATAAAAAAGGTCCTAGATAAGGAGCACAATTCAAACTAACCCACCAGTGAAGGATCGATGGAGCTTCTTCACACAGTGATGATCTAACTGCGGGTTTCACCTCAAGGTGTGCAGACTGCCTCTAGGGGGAGCACAAGANTTTGCTGATTATCCAGGAAACAGTGCTGGATAGAGTTTTGTGCTTGAACAGTTATGAATAGTAACAGTAAAGACTGATAATGAAGCATTTGATTAAGGAATGAAGATTAGTGTGCACTGATTGTGTAACAGATATTGCTGGATAAGGAAACACATTGAAAAGAGAAACTGAAGCTCAGCTAAAGCTCATAACAGTCAGGACAAAATTGATAAAATCTTCAAAAAGCTTTTTAAAATTATGTTGCATTACCTCAAGATAAGAAATTTTAAAGTCATGATGTAACATTGCTGTGGTAAAGCTAGTTTTCTATTTGCATTTAACTTTTAAATTTTTTTTTTTTGCTAAAAGTGAAGTGTAAAAGAACTCTAAATTTTTAAGTTTGGGGATTCCATATTATCAAGAAAATTTACGAACTTAGTTTAAAGCTACCCAGTGCTTAGTTTTGTTTCTTTTTGATTGGAAGACTCAAAATAAATCGTTTTCAACAACAGATTGAACCATAAACAAGAAACTCAGCAAATAGAAACATGCACGTGTGATTTTAGCTAATTAGTGATTGGATTTATAATATACCAAAGTTTCCAGTTTCCTGATCATGCATATCCTGATTTAAAATTTGAGTTTTTACCATGTCTAATATATTTTTTCTTTCTCTGCAGGTTGTTGAAAAGTCCTGCTGCAGAAAAAGCCTTAGATTTCCTTGGTAGCATCCTGAAAAAGAACCCCTTACTGCAGAGAGAACTGGATCTGAGTGGGAAAATAAAGGGAGACTCAGAGGTGAAGCAGCTCTCTGCTCTACTGGAGGATTCACACTGCAGACCCGAGATACTCAGGTTAGTGTTTCTCAGTTATTCACTTACAGAATGTAATATCTGTGTTTAATGTTTAACTGTATATAACCTAATTAATGAATATTTTCCATTTTTATTTATTTTATTTTTTTACATTAAACACAACATGACAATGTTTAAACAAAAGGCTTCTCTTACTTGTTCTCTCTCTCTGCATCCAGGATAAATAAGTGCTGCATGGGAAGTGAAGGTTGTTCTGCTCTGGCATCAGCTCTGAGTTCCAACCCCTCACACCTGAGAGAGCTGGAGCTGAGTGGGAATACACTGGGATCATCAGGAATGAAGGAGCTCTGTGCTCTGCTGAACAATAAACAATTCAAACTGCTGAAACTGGGGTAATGTTATTCATTACAATAAAATCAATAATATCAGAAAGAGCAGAGGTCTTTAAGAAGACTTTATAAATGCATTCTGGCAATATACACTATCTATAGTGTTACTGTTTATTCTTGATAAATGTAATTATTATTATTGCAGAAAAAAAATATTTTATTTATTCTGTTTTACCTACATCCACAAGCTGGATTAAGTGAAACTATAATTATTACTAAAAGTAATAAAAAACCTTCTGGAAATGTTAAACACTGGTCACAAACTATCAGATAATCAACAGATTATAATAATATATTATAATTCTACAGATTATAATAGGGTGGTGCATAGGTTTGCAGTGATTTTGAAGGACATTTATTCGTGATTTTCTAAAATAATACACAGAGTTAGTCTTCAGAGTAATCGTCATTAGATTCTCCAGTCCATTGTGTCGTTTCTTCCTCCAGCAGTTTCTGCAGCTCCTCGTCTTCTTTTGGTCTAACACTTCTTGGTTTATCATCGAGCTCCAATTCACCTTTTCAAACAGTGAACAGCTTCTTGAGAGCAGAAATGCTGATTGCAGCGTTGCTGTAAACTTTGCAAATTTCTCTGGCTTTCTCTAATCTGTCCAGTCTCTCTCCCCCCTCTCTGCAGGTTGTGTAAGTGTGGTCTAACTGTGGCAGATTGTGCTGCTGTTGTATCAGCTCTGAGAACAAACCCCTCATACCTCAAGGATCTGGACCTGAGTGACAATACAGTTGGAAACACAGGAGTGAAGGAGCTCTCTGCTCTACTGCACAACTCCAGCTGCATTCTGGAACAACTCAAGTAAATTATTTTCAGTCTATGTTCAGTCTAATATAACTGACTATCTGACATAGTTTAACTCTACAAATAAGTCAAAGAACCTATACAAATCCTTTAATTATAATCTGTACATGTATTTAAATCCTTTAATTAAAGTATTAACATGCTTTATTTACTTTATATTAATTAATCTGAGTTTCTGAATCTCCTGTGAAATGTATCAGTACCTTTGTTTCCTGTAAATAATGGTTATAATTGTTGGTTGCTGCAGCCTGCACTGAAATTACTGTTAATTATAAACCCTTCAGTGATGTTACACTGTTACTGTCATGTTATTGTCTCATCATGTAATGTGATTTATTATGGTTTACTTTCAGACTAAGCAGATGTAGTCTCACAGAAACACAGTGTGGTGATCTGGCTGAAGCTCTGAAATCAAACTCATCACATCTGAAAGAGCTGGATCTGAGAGAGAATAAACTAACAGATTCAGTCACACAGAAGCTCTCTAAGATACTGAAGCAATCAGGAGGAACGCTAAAGTAAGTAAACACACACTGAATGTGTATTTTGTGTAGAATATAATGTAAGTGAAAGCGTGTCATGTAAGAGTAACGTAAATGGACAAATCAACAGCATGTAACAATAATCATAGTCACAGAAACATGATGAAGTCAGTGACTAAATGCTAAACCCAGTGACATCTGTGTTCTTTCTGTTTTGATCTTACAGATATGACGAGCCATCAATTGCAACAAAAGTGGCGAATTTCTTTTCTGGTAGTACATCTGATGAACAGCAGAGTTAAGGACCTGTCCCATCTACAGTAAAGACAGAACAAAGACACAGAAAGATGCAAGACAAACAAGATGAAGGAAGCAGTGTGGACAGTTCAGCAGGTAGTATGGACCGGGGTAGTTCTGAGACACTGACTTCAGGAGCCCAGAGACTTCAGGCAGTTTTAGAACCACATAATAGTACGACTGTGACAAACACACCGAAACAACAAACCAAAGAGAAAAACCCACTCATACAGTACCTCCATACCATAAAAAAGGTCCTAGATAAGGAGCACAATTCAAACTAACCCACCAGTGAAGGATCGATGGAGCTTCTTCACACAGTGATGATCTAACTGCGGGTTTCACCTCAAGGTGTGCAGACTGCCTCTAGGGGGAGCACAAGANAGAGCTGGACCTGAGCTCCAACAGTCTGCAGGATTCAGGAGTCACTCAGCTTTGTGCTGGACTGAAGAATCCACAGTCTCCACTCAGAATAATGAGGTAAAGAACAACAGTTAAAGAGCTGAATTAAAAGACTGCATTCTTCTTCACCAGATGTGATCAGATGTGTTGGTTGTGCTCCTTCTTTCCTTCTGCAGACTGTGTAAGTGCAGTGTAGCAGCTGAAGGCTGTGCTGCTTTGGCTACAGCTCTGTTAGAAAATCCCTCACATCTCGTAGAGCTGGATCTGAGCGGGAATCAAGTAGGAGACTCGGGAATAAAGCACATCTCTGATCTACTACAGAACTCACACTGCCTCCTAGAAAAACTCAAGTATGACATTTCACAAATCAGGACTATTACACTATTACATTTGTGCTGAAATGTTTTTTAAATTTTTTGAGACACAAACTTCTAGTCGTTAATTATGTAATCTTATATAGCCTTTACATTCCAGTTAGAAATCATCTATGGTGAAATAATTAAACATAAATTATATGATAAATGCAAAGTTTATAGAATTGATAAAGTGTGTAATTTGTAGTAACATTCAATTATATATCATAGTAAATGTTAAAGTTTGTTCATGTGATGACTTTCCCCAGACTCATATATGAAAGATGCTAAAACTACACTTTCATTTTTATTCTTCAGTGTGAATGATAATAATATCACAGGGGAAGGATACGCTGCCCTCGCTACAGCAGTGAATTCAAACCCCTCATCACACCTGATAGAGCTGGACCTCAGAGGGAACGACCCTGGAGCATCAGGAGTGAAGCTGCTCACTGATTTACAAAATAATCAGGATTACAAACTGGAGAAACTGAGGTGAGAAAATAAAAACAATTTAATTCTCCCTATTGGTTTAATCTGAATTATTTGAGGCCACTATCACTAGCATAAAAGAACTCTAAATTTTAAAGTTTGGGGATTCCATATTATCAAGAAAATTTAAGAACTTAGTTTAAAGCTACCTAGTGCTTAGTTTTGTTTTTTTTGATTGGAAGACTCAAAATAAATCATTTTCAACAACAGATTGAACCATAAACAAGAAACTCAGCAAATAGAAACATGCACGTGTGATTTTAGCTAATCAATGATTGGATTTATAATACAGTAAAACTGGTCTAAGTCGCCGTCTTGTAACTCGTCAATGTGCATAAGTCAACGCTCAAGCAAAAGTCTCGAATTTTTCCTAATGATGTTTCCTTTAAAATTCCTTGTGTAACTCGCCGCTTGTCGTCAAATTCCCTTAGTCGTCACCTAAATCCCGAACAACACAAATGAATGGATCTTCCTACCTGTAAGTCGACACCCCAATCGCTGCATTCCTATGGAAGGCCATTTGGGGCATAACGTCTACTTTAACACGCAAACAAATAACGTCTTAACACGTACACTATGTACGTGTTAAGATGTTCAGACGTCTTAACACGTCTTAAAACTACGTGTTAACACGGCCAATTTGCTCATCTTAAGACGTTTGTACCTTTAATGCATCTATGCTATTGGTTGGCATAAACATACACACCCCTTTTGATGTAGGGGCTATACGTGTGCAGTACGTGCCCTGTACGTTGTAGTCACGTGGTTTCTACGTTGTAGTTACGTGAACTCTATGTTCAGCCATGTGAGTCCTACGTTGTGATTACGTATAGGCAACATAAGTATTACGTGTCAGACGTGACTGTGATGTTGTATTCCGCACAGTCCATTTGTTGGAGGGGTGAATCGCGGGCTTATTTAAACTGGCAGAACAGATGAGAGGTGATAGAGAAGAGTGTTACTAGTCATAATTTTAATTTCAGATATCCAAACGGAAAAAAACACATTCCACATATATATGTCACGATCGGCACGGGGAAGCAGGCGAAAGGAGTCGTGGATATGCACACAAAAGGGATTTATTTGCGGGGTGACACAATCCAAAACATACGCAACGTTAATGACCGGACTGGGGAAACGAACTGAAACGCGGACTAAATACATTAAACTAATGACAGCAACAGGAAACAGCGGATTTGACTGCTCATTTATTTTGATGTCACGCTAAAGTTTAAGCTAAAATTAAAATATGATGCAGATTGTTTTCGTTTTTGGAGACAGCGGTGATCGAGTTCCTTGGAGCGGGATTA